CCACGACCTTTTGGCCATTTTACATACATGTTTCTTGAAAACAACAAAAGTACTGTATTTTACAGTACTTCGCACACAACCATATCACAACGACTTTGTTCCCAGCAGCGGGCGCCCTACGAGCCCGGTGCGTACTACTACTACTACTACTACTACTACTACTACTACTACTTATTTATACCACACATTATACATTCATGCATTCATTCAGTCATTCATTCACTCACTCACTGATTCACGCAGTCACTCACTCACTCATTCCTTCGTTCGTGCGTTCGTCCATTCATTCATTCATTCATTCATTCATTCATTCATTCATTCATTCATTCATTCAGGGTGTGTGTGCCAATTTACTTTGTTACTGATTTTTGACCTTATACTATCTAACTATGCTGGAGGTCATAAGAAATGCACACTGCCAAAAGCTACTGACGTGTGGAGCAAGCTACCTTTGCACTTATGTATATGTTGTTACATGTATGTGTGTATCGGGCGTCAGGGGATGTTTTAGCAGGTTTGTTCTAAGCTTTGGGTGGCTGTAAGGCTAGCCTTCCAAGGGGCCTCTCGTTCAGCAAAAAAGACACAAGTGACACCCGAAAAAAACAAATGACACCAAAAAAACAGACACAGGTGACCCCCCTTCTCCTTTTTTGAGTTCGGTTTTTCAGACAGAAATAAATGACTCTCACCAGGGCATTTATTGTACCAGTGTGGAAAGAGATACATCGGATTATGCAGCAGTTTACTGGTTGCATAGACCAATAAACAGGTCATGTGGTGATTCACACTGGTTGGTCACCAGCACAGAACAAAGTGTTGCTCGATTCAACAACGGTAGGTAGCGTAGAGATGCCTGTGGTAAGTGATATGGAACTGTGTAGCTGGGCAGAGATACGACCAATTGTAGCTGGCGCGTGTATTTGATGATAGTCTGGCTACTAGTCAGACGTTGCGTCCCTGCGGTCACGAGCAGGACCGTTGTGCGAAAGCCTAGAAGAGCTCAAAACTGAATCCTGTTGCCCGAGTGAACAGGGCCCACCACTAAACCACTAAAGGGTGAGTTTTGCTGTTATGATTACCATGGGGAAGGACTAGTTTAGTGGCTAAATATTAATTGGTTTAAAGATGCTTAATAAGTTTATAAAGGGCTGAAGGTCCTTTGAAGCTTTGGCCTCGGGGCGGAAGTGGGGGTTCGGCAGCTTGGACTGAAGGTACAGCTGGAACCTCACAGTGGGTGGGAGCAAGAGCAAGCGACAGAAAGGCAAGGCTGCAAGGCTAGGCGAGGCTAGGTTTGAACGAGGCTGGCACTTCGGGTCGTATTCGATCTCATCCGGGCCAAGCTTCAGGAACATGGGGCCGTGGCCTTGCTTCCCCCGCTGGATGACCTCAAAGGACTCTTTCAGTACATGACTACATGAACAATCGACGAAAGAGAGAGATGCAAAAGCCAACGAGGGCGCACTCAAAGCGCTCGCCCAAAGGCGAGGCACCCAAGAAACCCTTGCCTGTCTTCATGCGCTGCTCTTTCACTTTCACTTCCAAGTGTTCTACCCGTAATTGTAGAGATCCCACCAGTGTGAGCGCACCCAAACTGCCCAGGTGCGGTTTGCATTTTGAGGCGTGCGTACGAGTGCGCCGGAAACACCGCATGGCCGCTAGTCACGCTAGTCCTTCGCTTCAGGTAAATGGCTTAGAGTGTGCCTAGAAACACGTTGCACCACTTTTGCTTCTGCAACGCATGTAACTACACGGTTTGCGAGAGATGAGAGAAATGCAGGGGCAGGGTCAAGAATTGCTTAGCCGGCGGCTGCTCTGGATAAGAGAGGTTCCAGGACCTTTTCTGGGCAGCTGCGTCTGGAGCTTCGCAAAACACTCTGAGTCCATGACGGCATCAATCTCATCAGCCAGTGCCTGCCGCATGGTCTCGAGTCTCAGAGAGGAGAGCCGGGGAGCCTTTGCTGCCTTTGCTGCGCTCCGCTGCGCTCCTGCACTGACCTGCCTCGATGAGGAGCTGGCCACCGGTCTGCACGCAGCCGACAACCCTCTCCAGCCTGCTGACGGAGGCCGAAGCAGGCCGAAGCCTCCTCTTCTCTCGGTTTTTTTTAGCCCCCTTTTGAGGCGTGGACCACTTGAACATGGAGAGCTGGATCACCGAGAGCTCCTGCTTTCCAGTGTCTTTACCACTGTCTTCACTGACCCGCGCCGCACCCGCGCCCCGCGCCCCACACTTCCTCGCCCACACGCTGCTTGATCCATCGGGCTCCCTGCTGCTGAGGATCCACCAGCCTCAAGGGCGCAAGCGCGAGACGCCACGAACGAAGTCGCTGAAGCGGTAGCAGCGGTAACAGCGCCCATAGCAGGTCTAGGTCTCCGGCAGCGGCCAGCGCGAGCAACAGGTCACCACCTATGACCAAAACAGAAAGCACTGAGCAGTGCTCTCTGAGTCAAGGCGGGGCGGCGATCTCGAGGGAGGCACCGAGGCGTTCTCCACCGAGACCCGATCTGCTGGCAGCCCCTAGGAGCAGGGAGCGGAGGGGGCGGGAGCGGGCTGAGCACTTTCGATCGTCCGCGCGCCTCGTTCATCCAGCCGGCCACGTCGGCATCCGTGGCCAGCACAGCCAGCGGGTCGATGTTCTGGGTCATGGGGATCTCCCGTTCTCGGCGATACGAGAACGCTCTCTCTGGACATGGACTCATTCAGGTCATGGCGCAGATCTGCAGGCAAGGCTCGCTTCAGGTCCTGGCTCCAAGCCTGCTGCCACAAATCCTCGGAGTTTCAAGCGGCCTTTACAAGGCTGGCCCTGGGCGCTGTCGGGCCCTGTCGGGCCCTGTCGGGCCCTGACCTGCCGCAGCCTTGCAGAGAAGGGCGAGGCGTAGCCGACGAAGGCGCTGGCCAGCATGCAGTTGCCTCTTACGGAAACCAGCCCCTCCCGCTCGCCTGCCCCTATAGGCCACAGTGTTCTGCGATGCCGATGCCTATCAGCCGCAAGCCGAGATCTCGGAGATCGACCACAGTTGTGGCCCAACCTGTCCACAAGTGCAGAATTTGGGACTGTGCCCGGGCTCTCTTCTGGGCCCGCTGCGCTCGTTCTCGTCGGCCAAACCAGAGACCAGCCGCTCCGCTGTGCTCAGCCGCTGCACGCAGCTCTCGGCCTTCGGAGTGCCAAGGGCACCAGAGCCGCGGCCGCGGCGTGCTCTTGCGGCTCTTGCGCTGCGCCTGCCGTTCCATCCTCTCCCTCTCAGAGGTCGCGTCGCTGAGCTGCTTGTCGAGCTGGGCACAGCTGGCCTCGCAGGTCAGGCTCCGTCGCGATGAAACAGAGTTCAGCCAGCAAAGTCGGCGCCTCCACTGCCTCAACCCTCTTCTCGACCTGCAAACAGTTGCGGGGCCCGGGCCAGGGCGGCGGCGTTTGAGTCGCATGGCGCCTCCCGCAGCTGCAGCTTGGCAGCATCTGTGGTGGCCTGGGCCACTTTCACCTTCTCCATCAGAGGTGCAACCTGCAGCGATCCAGCTACGATCCACGGCAGTGCTGCCCTGTCTGCGTCTTCGCCCGCCGGCCCGAAATTAGGGCCTTCGTGTAGATCTTGTTGTAGGTCACGATGTTCACCACCTGCTGGGCGAGCGCTGCACGCACGCCGACATGTCGCACTGCTGAGGCGTCTGCCCAGTTGGTGAGGTAGGCAGCCTCGAAACGCCGGAGTCGGCTAGAGTTGCTAGAGCCGCTAGACTCAATCGGCAAACCCCGTCTTGATCTCCGCCGTCTGCTCTGGTCCGAGTCGCCGCAACGCTCTTATTTTTCATCGACTCGAAGTTGAAGTAGTCAGCTCCGATCAACGCGTCGGTGTTCGCAAGGACCTCCGAAGATTGAAGATTTGGAGTCCGTCGATTTCCAACAGTACACTGGCCTGCTCTGGGATGTTCTCGGCATTGAACACCTTCACATCATCAATGAACCTCGGCTGCCCCTGTTGCCCTTGCAGGTGTCTGGATTCAGCCCATTCCTAGCATGTTCATAAGTTGTAACCAAGGCTCTGCTGGGGAGACTGCATCATTTTTTGGCAGCCTTTCCAATCCAATTTTCGCTTTTCCTGAACTGCCGAGCCAAACAGCAATCAGCTCAAAGCCACCGGGTCCAGCCACGACATTGGTCAAACCGTATCCGTTGTCCCCGTCAACTCGACTTGCTCTCGGGTGTGTCGTTGCTCCGTGAGAAGACTGTATCGCTCTCTGTATCTCTCTCTCTCTCTCGCCCTCTCTCCTGGACAGGTTAAGACTAGGGATAACGAAACCTTTGTCTGCCCCTGTTCGGCTTCCCATTGCTGGGAGCGGCCTCTGTGCATTGCTCTCTTCCATTGTGGATCTGAACGACAGTTCGCTTGGAGAAACTGTATTCCGGTCAGGTACCAGTTCAGGCGAGCTCATGCACTGATGTCCAGTACGCTTGAAAATACTCGGCCGTAGGCTATACGGCTGATAACCTGCAGTTGTGGGAAACCATTCGTCAAGCGCGCTGATGTATATGACACCGTTACCTGTTGACCAGGTTGTGCCATGGCACTGCGGACTGCATTTGTTTTTCCTAGTCAGAGCACTAGCAGCAACGGTACATCCATGTACAAGGTACAGTGCACAAGGGGACAATAGATTACACGTGCATAATCTACACAGGTGTCAAGTCCCCAGCTCAAAAAAGTGGTTGGAAGCCGCCTTCTCTTAGATCCACATCAGTTGCAGTCCTTGCTTGCTTGCTTGCTCGCTGGGTGGTTTGGCTGTGAAACTGTGAGCCCCGTGTTGCAGTCCTCTTCTTCCACACAGCCAAAGATTGCAGTCCTCTCTCTCTCTCTCTGCCTTGCTCTTTTGCTGGCCGTGCGGGGATATGAAACCGGAAAGAGCTTGCGACTCGGGCCTGTCTCAGCAAGAAGCCACAAGCGGCCACCACGTCGACGCACTCCCGCGGAGGCTTGCCAAGAGCTTTCAGCTCTTGGATGGAGGTCTGCGCGGAAAAGAACCCACATGAGGTCATAAGTCATGACCTCCTTGCGCCAAGGCCTTGTCCAGGCAGTCCACGGCCGCCTTGGCCTGTGCGAGGAGAAGCAGAAAAAACGCGAGAGAAGAGAAGGGAAGAGAAGGGAAGCGGCCCCCACCTTCTCCATGGCCGGCAGAGCCTCCACAAGCTCTTGATCCGCCTGCACTTCAAAAAGCTCCGCGGAGGAATTGGCCATGGCCGATTGGTGGCTGGGCAGATTCTGCGGAGGGCCGCCTGGTCCTTCATGCGCATGGCCTCGGCAGCCAGAGCCTCGCACTTGCCGTGCTCCAATCCTGCAGAAAGGTTCTCAGGGGCGAAGCTTGGCTAAAATCCCCCGACCCTGGGCTTCTGAGGGCCGGGCGCGCTGCCTCCTTCTCCACCGCCGCCACTTGAGACGCTGCAGTCACCTGGAGACATGCAATCCCGACTCTCAGGGAGTTCCTCTGATCTCCGCCTGCTTGATCAGCTCTTCCGTGGCCACCTTCTTCTCGTCAACCTGCAGCGGGCCGACTGCGGGAGCTCAGCCTGCGGCCCTGCGGCCCTGCGGGCCTGTCGGAGTGTCATCTCCAAATCCTGCTTCAGATCTGCCACGCCATCTTGGACCTGCGCCGCCCCGCGTCCGTCGCCGCGTGGCGTCTACACTGTCTACTGAGTCTACTGACTGAGTCACGCCAAGGCGCGTCGCGCATGATGGCCAGGCCCCGCTCGAGTCTCGAGACGTTGAGCTCCACGCTGGCTTGCTTGGACGTCAACATCCGGACCTCCACCAAAACTGGGACTGAGTATCCTGTCGCTTCCGCGTTCCGCGCGCCGATTCTCGCCCTCTTCTTTCTCCGAGGTGCGTAGAAGCCGATGAACTCCAGGAAGGCTTTGGGGGTCGTCGAGTTGAAGCGCCGCTCCTCTTCCAGGTATCGCCGGTTGGCCTCTAGAGCGCAAGCATGCGCAAGCAATCATCTCGCTCGTGAATGCATCTTTTTATGTGCCGCTGCCGCCAAAAAAAGAGCCTGGTAGATGGAGATGTGAACTTCGGCGGCGTGGTGGGAGATGGCTTGCAGGGTCTCCTTGAAACAAAAAGCGGAAAAAGGAAGGATCCGGCAGGCTTTGAGCAGGCTGCGCCACTGCGCCTCGTTCTCGATGTTTCGGTCCCGGAGTTTCAGGAGGAAGCGGTCGGCCACGCCGATCAGCGCGTCGCGAGGCCAGGCGTGGAAGACGTCCAGCGCCATGCAGCTGATCAGCGCCTCAGACCGCGAGGCTGCCGATCTCCTCGCATCCTCCTCCCCAGAATCCGCTCCCTCCTCTCAAGCGAATTCGCCCCATGCAGACAACGACGCCTATACTAGCCACTATATTATAAGCTCTCTCTTCCCGGATCGGCTGTCGGCCCTGGCGAGGCGCCGGGAACTTGCGCCCGCGGATCCGGAAGGCGGAGCCCACGGGGGAGTGGCAGAGGACCAGATGCAGGTTCGAGCCTCAGCCGAATCCGCGAGCGCAAGGAGACTCTCTCTCTTCGCCTTCGCTCCGCTCCGCTCGCTTCTCCGCGGCCCGGGCGGACTTTGTCCAGGAAGTACTGGAAGAGGGACCTCGTCATTTGGCGACCAAGCACGCTCCACCCCGCTCCAGCCACGCTTTTTGCTTTCAGGGCACTCCCGGTCATCCAGATAGCCCGCAAACTTTGCAGCGTTCCGAATGCCCGAGAAGATGTTGTCGTATTCCTGGGCGCGTCTTCAAGACACACGCTCTTCTGCCTCAGGCGCCGTCGCGCGGTCGCGCGCTGTTGGTGGAACGGCTGGGCCTCGCGAGCAAAGAGATCGGGGATGTTGCCGCTCGAGAGCATGTCCTGACGTCAGGCTGGAGGTGCAGAAGCCTTGTCACCGCCACCCAGTGCAGTGTAAGTGAGCGGCATTGATGAACACCAGGAACCGCTCATCCGTAATCTGGCTGTCTGTCAACAGAAATGCCTCGCGAGTTTCACAGCCTCAGCAGTGTTTTGTGATGCTTCAGCACGGCCTGCGGAGTTGCTGGCTTCACCGCGGCCTTCTTGTAGAAGGCCTAGTTATATAGACTCAAGAAAGACGGAGGGAACTCACATGCATGTGCAGAGCTGCAAATGGGTGTGCCTGGAGGTCCGTCCTGAGCTCCGGCAAGCCATAGTGCTGGTTCACGAGGATGCTCAAGACTTCCTCGGAGGAGCCGTGGATGGAGCACCGTGGGGACCCACCCACACGGACCCCACGTGAGTACGGACTTCGCTCCTAAGCCGGGCCTGGCGGTTGATGAAGGAGGCCAGGCGCGCCAGGGACTGCTTGCCACTCCCTCCCACGCCAACCAACAAAGCACTGCCGCAGGGATTCGCCGTGATGCGGCAGATGCCTAGAGGCAGATGCCAAAAGGCAGCTGCTCTGTGCAGGGTGAGAACAGCTGCGCAACTCTGCTCCCTGCTCTGCTCGGTGCTCTCCCCCCACCCCCGGTGCACTGCTGCATCCTACGCTGTTGAGGTGTGCTGGGGTGCTGATCTCTTGCAGACGGGAGGACGGCAGACGTGGAGCACTGCATCGTCGAAGAGCACCAAATTCATTGTCGCATGCTCCGTGTTGTAGGCTGCCAGCTTGGCCTCTCAAGTTGAGAACCACTTGCTACCGAAGCGACATGAACATGACGGTCGCTCTCGGGCATGCAGACAGCGCACCAAGCTGTCGAAAGCTCGAGCCTTGAGGGCCTAAACAGACACTCCCTGCGCTGCAGTCTCCTATGTTTTGCGGCTTGGTCATGTCTTCTGCCTTTCGGGCTATGCTGAACACGACTCACCACGATCGTGACGAGGGTTCTCGATGAGCTGTTAGGGCGGTTTGCCGACAAAACAGCAGGCTGAAGATCCAGGCGACGATCGACGAGGGCGAACGCGCTCGGTACTGGAGGTCTGCCCTTGGCACCACTACGGCACTACGGTCACTGCACCTCTAACAAGAGCTCCCCCTGAGCGATTGAGATCAAGCACCCTCCGGCGACCTGGACCAAAGACCGAAATCTCAAACGATATGTTTCAACAATAATCAGCACACGATGCTCGCATTTTGGCCGCACATTGCTCCAGGGCTGCTGCCTTTCCCGGCCCCCGGACCCCGCCTCCACTGCCTGCCGGATCTGCTGGAGGTCCCGCGCCGGAAGGTACTGCTGCTCCCCGGAGGCCTCGAAGCGGAGAGCGAAGCGGAGAGCGAAGAGAGCGAAGAGAGCGAAGAGCCGAGCCCTGGCCCTGCCCTCTTTTAGGAGTTGAAAACGGCTCTCGGCTCGGCCCGGTTCGTTTCGGCCCTGTCGGCCTCGGAGACGAAGGAGGTGCACGCGAGCGGCTGCTGGAAGAGCTCCTCGCGGTTCGAGGCCGCTCCGACGCCCACGAAGCACTTCGACACCGCCTCAGTTTCACGGGGCACTTCGCCACAGCATGGTCACGCACGCGACTTGCAGAGCGCTAACGTAATTACGGCCTTCTCGATCATCACCTGCAGCTCCTGCGAGAGGGAGGCATCCCCGCTCTACTTTGAGAGTATATACCTGTGGTCCTTGGCATCCGACTCCAAGACGAGGCGATCGGAGAAGACGCGCTGGCACTCGTGCAGCCAGACCTCCAGGTGAGAAGAAGAGACCGAGGAAGGAGAGGGAAAGACGGGAAAGAGGAAGGAGAGATGAAGGAGAGAGGGAAGGAAAGAGGACAAACAAGACGAGGGCACTGCTGCTCTCTGCTCGCTGGGGCCCCATGCCCTCAGGAAGCGTGTGGGGCCGCCCGGGTCCCGGAAGACCGAGCTGTTCGTGCTCAGCAAGCCCTGGAAGAGGTTGGAGATGTCCTCCGGGCGCGACGTGATGCGATGCGCGGCCGCAGGAGGGCCGGGCCGGGCCGGGCCGGGCCGGGCAGGTCGCACAAATTCGGCACAGCCGGTCGCAGCCTTCAGGTTGAACTGGTAGTGAAACTTCTCTGCGGAAGGCAGGAAGGAAGCGGAGTTCTGGATGGATGCCAAAACCTGCACCCACACAGCTCGCACACAGCTCTTAAGCAGAGCTCTTAAGCAGAGCCCTTAAGCACAGCTCCACAGCTCCGTGCGCACGCGCCTCGGCAGTGGCGTTCACGATGGGCTCCGTGGTGCGCTGCGTCTGCTGCCCGAAGGCCTCGAGGTGTCGGCCCAAGACCTTTGTGTAGATCCCCGAGATCACCTGGATGCCGGGGGCATAGGTGGTGGCCACGGTGAAGCGCCGCTGCAGTCGTCCGTTGATCATGAAGCTCCCTGCCTGCGACGTCGCGGCGCTGCGACTGCGTAAATGCACACGTGCCTCTGGGTCCTCACCCTGGGTCTAATTAAGAAAAAGGGCCTTGGGGTTCATGCAAGCGGTGAAGAGCAGGTCCACGATGGTCTTCTTCTCGTCCAGCCGCTCCCGGTCGTAGACTTGCCCGTAGGAGAGCACCTCCCAAGAAATTCATCACAGCGCGCGACCTGTCGTGCAGTGCGGGGGCCGGGGCGGGGCCCGCCGGGGCGGGGCCCGCCAGGACGGGCCTGGGTCAGCAACATGATGGCGCTCTGCGTGTCGTAGCTGTCAACCTCGGGGTTTCCGCGAAAGCGAGGCGAGAGGCTCGTATTTCAGAAGCGCTTCTTTTTGTGAAGTGGCGTAGGGCATGTTCAGGTCATCCACGAAAAGGATGCAACGGCGGTGACCCGGTGGACCGAAGGTGTGGCCGGAGCGCCTCAGCGGAAAGGCCAGCGTCCCAAAGCAACGGCGCGCCGCGGCGACCGCCGTGGCGTCGCTGGGCTTCCAAGCTTCTCCAGACAGCCTACGATGATGCCCTGCAGTGCCGCAGAGGTGGTGTAGCCTGCATGCAGCATCTTGCACTCTCACTTGCGCTCCCTTTAAGGCCAGGAAGCTGTTGAGGTTGATGGAGGCCGAGTTCATCTCGCTGTTCACTTTGACCTTAGGCCCCGCAAGAAGGAGATCAAGCGAATATTTTGAAAGTCCAGCCTCTGCGAGGTAGTCCTGCGAGAGAGAGAGAGAGAGAGAGAGAGAGAGAGCAAAAAGACCATATCTGCCGTCTGCACAGGGCAAGAAACGCACAAGACAATATTATGCAGAACGCAAAGCGATGCTGCGCAAAGCACAAGCGAATGATCGACACAAGGTCTCTGTAAGAGATGCAAGTCACCTTACATCTCTTACCCTTACTTACGCGCTTGCCGATTCTGGGTGACGATCCTACCATCTTCTCTTTCCCATTATTTCCCCCTGCACCCCGGTTGTTTTCGCTCCAGTCCTTGACTATGGTGGTTTTGCCCGTTCCTGGAGGCAGAAGGTCACGACAAGTGAATTCTGCCCCAGCCTTGGCCGGTCTCCTGCGACACCCACCAGCAGCATCGGCTTCTGCCGCTTCACATGGAGGTCCAGGAGATGCCTGGTGCCGAGGGCCAAAGCCGCAGGCCCCAAATGACAAGATCAGCCGCAGGCTTCATGCGCTCAAGCTCGACATTACTGATAATGATGTTCTGGTAAAGCACTTCAGTGACGGGCTCGTACTTCCTCAGACACAGCTCGCCGCCATTTACGCCATGTGCCTTTCAGGTAACTTTGTCCAAGTAGCTTCACGCTGGTCTCCCAGTGCACCCAATCCTTCCCCAACAAAAAAGCAGCGCTGGGGGCTTGCAAGCGCGAAGGCGACGCTCGCTCTGTGTCTCTCTTTGCGTTCGCTTGTCCTTGGCGGCCACATCGAAGCGGAAGTCGAAGCACTCTCCGAACTCCGGCAGCTTGACTCCCCGCGCCATAGACCTGACTGGTTTTCAGGTGAGCGGAAGCGTCTCTGAAGGTCGGCACGTGGCACCAATACCACGCCTCAGGGTGGCGTTGAATGCGCGGCGGTGGTTCACGATCTTGTCCTCAGGATTCATGTCGGGCTCCTTTGAGCTTGAAGCACCTCGCCTTCAACTGAAACTGAAAATGCCCATCACGGGGGCCCCACGTCGGCGACCGCGCCACCCAGGGTCCACATCAGGGCGAAAGTGAAGAAACTCTCGTAGCACAGCTTCTGCTCCTAGCCCAGTGTTCCGGACTCCATGCTTCGCACATCTTCGCAACTTGCCACAAGGGCTCCTCGGTCGGCATGGTCCGCAAGAGCTCCAATGTCGTGTTCTTGCCTCCATCGATCCGACGAACTGTGCTAATCCCTGTCGACAGGCCGTCTCCTTCTTTCTTGCGAGGGGTGCGACCCGTCCGTTTATTGTGGGTGCCAGAAGTGAACATGCTTGCTCTTTGGTTTGCTAGAAAGAATGGATCAATGCATCTAACCCATTTTTTCTCGGGGCTAGGTTAAACTCTGTCTGTTTCTGTCCGTCTCTGTCCGTCTCTCTTGCTGTCTCTCTGAGCAAGCGTATGCGGATGCTTCTGGGAAGCGTTACAAATACTGAATTCACAACCTGCACGAATTGAACTACACGCCTGCTTTCATAATGACACACAATAAGCATCACAACAGACGACCAGTGCTTGGCAATGCTGTTCTTGTTACGGCATCTCCCTCACTCTCTCTCTCTCTCTCTCGGCCTTCTCCGTCCTTGCCCAAAGTGCCTCCGAAGTCAGAAAGAATATTTAGCAATGACCAGCTGACGCAGTGAGCGAGGCCTCCAGCTCCTGCTCCAGCTCCGATCATCAGAAGGGCATCCAGCAGGCAGGTCACCGTTTGCACCTGCTCAGAGCCCATCCCCAGCCGGCAAAAAACGTCCTCTGAGCGGGGCCCTGGCAAAGCCCATGTCCAGGATCGGGCACGTGAACTCGAAGTTCTTCCGAAGCTGCTCGATGTTCGCCTGCTGCAGCCCGCTGGTGTTTTGCGGAGTGCTGCGTCCATGGGTGCCCCCGCTGCCGCCCCGCTGCCGCCCCGCTGCCTCAAACTGGTGCGTGAAGAGCATATAGAAGGTGCTCTGGGCCACCGGATCCATCTGCTCCTGCACCACGTCTCTCTCCCTCCTCTCACGTCAGTTGCTCAAGATGCCTGTCCCTACGTCCCTCCCCACACTTCAGCCCAGAGACTCGCCAACTCTCCACAAAAGGCTTCCAGCCCACGTCGCTCCTTAAGAAGCCGAAAGTTTTCGGCAAGCTCTACAATGTACTAGAACAGATCCCGACAAGCCAACAAGCTCCCCTCTTCTTTGCCAGCTTGCTCGTTGATGTACAGGACACCGCCCCGAGACACGGTCGCCGGGCTCGCGTGCTTCATGTCCTGAAGGCGAAGGCGGCGAAGGCTTCGGTTGTCCATGGGCTGCTTTAAGCTTTGGTGCCCTAATAGGCGGCCCTAGCGCCTGGATCTCAAGGAGCATCCGCATGGTCTGCGTGAAAGGGATCCGCTCGTTGCTCACCAACGTCAGCACCTGCGTCCGGTGTCCCGTGAAGGGGGCTTGAGTCCCTTGAGGCGGTTTGTTGGTACGGCTGTGCGCCTTGTTGTCGTCCATGACGGTGTTCATGGACTCGATCCAGGTGGCGTCGATGTCGCCGTCCAGCACCACCCACTTGTGCAAGTGGCTTGCCTTGTAGCCGTTCATCTCCTGCCAACAGCACCAGACAGCCCGACGACAGCCCGAGCGTCGGCAGGGACCGAGTCGGCGCGCGCCTTGCTCATGTTCCGCATGATCACGGAGACCGCGCCGTCCTTCCACTCCCCCTGACGGACGGACACAGTGACCGCCGGCGACTGCGGGGCGGCTCCGGATCGGCTCGGCGCCTTCTCGATGGTTCCGTAGAGCTCATCGGCGGTGATGGCTTTGGGATTCACCTGCTCCCATTTGCAGTCCTGCAGCAGCGCGGGGACACTGTCTCACCGGTGTCGGGCAGGGCCTGTCGGCGAGTCGGCCTGTCCTCACCGATGGCGATCAGTGCCATTTCCAAGGATCGCCAGATCTCCGTCTTCCCGGCGCCAGTGGGCCCGATAATGAAGCAGCAATGCCGAACCTGTCCATATGCAGTATACGCTTGCATGGACAAGCAGCATGACAAGAGTTCTCTCCTTCAAGATGTCCAGGAAATCCACCACTTTGTCCAAGAAACCTCTGGGAAGTGCCACAGCGCATCGAAGCACCCTGCGAAGAACCAGCGGCTCCAATTGCGCCTGGATCCGGCTGGAGCCCCCGTGCCTCGAAGGCCAGAAGAGAAGGAACTTGGAGCCCTTGGAGCGGCCGGCACCGGCGCCGGCGCCCCCCCGCGCCTTGACCGTGTCCTCACAGACCTTTCGGAACTTTGGATCCAGGAAGGGCTTCGCCTTCACGCCTCGGCTCGGAGAGTGGGGAAGGAACTGACCGCTCCTGCTCGCTAACTGCTAACTGCCTTACAAAAAGCACCGCGAGCCCAAGCGCCCAAGCCCAGGCCCGGGCCTGGGAACAGGTCCTGTATCAGACGCTGGAAGATGGGCATGTCCTGCTGCGGGTACCCGCTCGGCGAGCGGGCTCTACATACACTGATCCGAATTCCTGCGTAGTGATCTTCGGAAGATTGAAGTCGCGCAGGGCCCTGCAAAGGACCACGTTCTCGTCGTTGTCTGGCTCCTTGCCCTTCAAAGACCCCGCCTGAGCTGTCTACGGACTGCGGACTGCTGAGAGTCTGAGAGGCTGCCTTGGCTGCCTTGCCTGGCGAAGCAAGGATTTCACCGCTCGCAGGCCCCAGTCGTAGTGCATCTGCTTCGAGAGCAGCTCCTCCCCCGGCGGATGCAGTGAACCCGCGTGCACCCACGGGCCCACTGGCGCTCTCCGAGACTCCTTCGAGAGCGAATAGAGCGTGACCTGCTCTCTCGCCAAGCGAAACTTCTCAGACACAGGCTCTGAGGGCACTGCGAACTTGTGCGCCAAAAGCCGCGCGATCGTGAAGCCCTCGGACATGAGCATGTTCTCGCCTGAAGCCACGAATCGTCACGCATCCCAATTTTGGATCCGATGCAAAATTCGGAGGAGGCACAGATGAATTTCAGGTTCGGAACGATCATCGCCACTGACCGGAACAGGGCCTCGCACGGAAAAGCCGGAAGATGCAGGTTTGGCACCGAGGCACTGCAGTGAGGCCTTGAGGTTTTCAGGCAGCTCAGTGCGGCCAGCATAACCAGGATTCCTCACGGCGCAGCGTGCGTCAGGCCGTCAGGCATCTGGCATCCACATCGGCGCAAAACCCACCGTGCCCAAGGGAGGACCAGGGAGCGCAAAACAGCCGCGAAACGGCCCAGAGCGTGGTGAGTTGTAAGCATCGTGAGCCCTTGCGCACAGCGAGCCTCCAGTCGCCCTAACACTGTAACACTGTATAACACCATCAGTGGGCCGCCCGTGAGCCCCGTCGTGCGGCCGGGAAGGCGCAGCCCGAGGCTGAGGGACCCTCCAGCGGGAGACGGGGCGAGCGCCAGAAAAGCACCAGTCTAAGCACAGCTCTCGACCCTTGAAGCGGACCCCCTTGCGTCCCTTTTGCGTGACCCAAAAGGGAGCTTAAGAGTGGGCACGGGCTTGCTCACTTCTCACGACTGGCCCGCTGGCTCTCTGCTCTGCTCTCTTGGTTTCCCGGCATGGTGATGAAGGCGCCGCAGGTCTTGATCAGGCGCAGCTCCTCGCCGCAAAATCGACCGATACCCCTCATAAGGTCATCTCATCTCTCGCAGCGTCCTCATCCACAAAGAGGAAGGTCTTGCTGTTCGCACGGATGGCATCCAAGACAGACTTGTATTGTGTGGAAACCACCGACAAAACCTGGCGCAGAGAAAGGAAGAGAGTGCGCAAAAGTGCAGAAGCTACGGCGGTCCTCGATGGAGATTCGGTTGAACTCATCGAAGCAGCCCCAGGCGCCAACCTGGCAAAACTTGCGAGAAGGGTCTGGTCCGGCTGCTCCGGCTGGTCCGTCTGGCCTGGGCAAGGCCCATGAAAATCTGCGCCGTGGTCTGGTAGGTCATCTGGTCACTGCAATTGAACCTGACAGCAGCGAAAGAGGGAACAGAACAGAAACCAACACACAAATAATTACACACACTACATCGCTGGGGTTTTCCCGTTCTTCCGCGCCAAGCTGCACGACGATGGGCAGGCCCAGGGCCCTCGACAAGTCCTTCGTGGTCTCCGTCTTCCCGGTCCCGGCCGGCCCCGCGGGAGCACCTGCGGCCGGAGACAGCGGACGGCCTCTGCGAACAGCGCGCCCCATAACGGAGCCTCCGAGGCAAAGGTTCAAGGCCTGGCCAGCGGAGCAGCGCCAAAGTCCCTCACTACGTCCCTACGCGGCGTTCCTACGTCCTTACTACGTGTCCCTCGGCATGCCTGCGTCAGAGTGATGTAGCCTCGGCTGTTGCTGAGAGAGTCGAAGTCGTTTCTCACTGTCACTCTTTCGGTGTCGGGAGGCATCGGTCCGTTAGAGGGGTGATGACCAGCCTCCCAACGTTGCCCACATACTCCTTGGACCGGAGCTACGAGCTACGCCACAGAAGGCCCGGACGCATGGCCACGCATGGCCACTTCGCACATTTCACCAGCTGCACTACTGCAAGCACGACTGCAAGAACGACTGCTGCGATATGCGGTGATCTGCGGTGAAGCGGCGTAGGAGTAGCAGGTGGCCCAGTCGCAGATCCGGATCAAGCACGTCTTCTGCTGTGCCTTAAGAAAAATTTAAGAAACGAAGAGCGGCCGCTTGAAATACTTCCGTCCGAGCGGCTGGGGTGAAGGACACCAGGTTCAGGCCTGCAGACGACTGTATACCTGGCCTTTTCACTCGACTGAAGACACCGCCACGCCTGGCCTGGAGGGCACATCTGCCAGTAGAAACGGAGTTGAGATCCCCACCTGGTCGAGACGTCGAGAGCCGTCGAGACATGTCACGTGTCGCGTGGCCTGAAGTCATTCGCTTCGTTCACTTTCTGAAGGACAAACGATTCAATCACGTCTCTGGAATGGACGTCCTCGGCTAAAGATTTCGGGGACACGACTCGTCAAAGTCTATGCTTGGCTGAGCTTTCGACGATGGTAATGATGGTGATGACCTGGCACAACATGCTTGCAACAAGGACAGACAAGATACGTCAAACCGCCGTGGCCAGCCTTTGTGCGCAATTCCTTGTCGGATTCTTTCTGCACTCTTCGAATAAGCTTGTCAATCCGATCGTCGTTCACCTGGATACCATCTGCGCATCTTTTCAACAATTATCAGGCAACGTCTAGGAGTCAATATGTCCCCGTGGTCGGGCTCGAGTTCCAAGGTTTGGGTATGTGGGCGTGCTGGCGTGCTTCGAGCTTTGAAGGATCTGCAGGGGTCATTCTGGAGGGCTCAGGGGCGTAGAGGCGGCTTGGGGCATGCGGCGCTTGTTGTTGCGGGTTGATCGGACGTGTGGCCCGCTTGTAGTCCCGCATGGCCGTCTCGCTGCCTGCCTGCAGAGAGGGAAGAGGCCAAGAGCCGGCACAGTCTGCGCTGGCGCCTCCATGTCCTCAAAGGCCCGCGCCGTCTCCTGCTGACACACAAGTCATCCATGCTTCGCCCCATTGCTTCGCCGCGGCCCTCCCCAAGCCAAAGGGCCCCCCCCGCGCCTCCGTCCAGATGATCTGAGTGGCCAAGAGGCTCAGCTGGGCACAGTATTCGTCTAGCCTGGATGCCCCGGAATGAAGAAAGCTGACTTCCTGTGTGGACTCTGCACACTGGTGCGAAGCTGAGCGTAGAAGCCACGTCTCACGAGGCCTTGTGCAGTGCAGTGCAGCGCGGTGCAAGAAGGGCGCGCGCGCGCGCCAGTCGAGAGTCGGGGGAGGCGCCTGTCGCCTACCTCCCAGCTTTCTGCAGAGGTCCGCGCCTGCCGAAAAAAACGCGACGTTTGAGAGTCTGTGCTGACTGCGCTGTGCTTCTCTCTGCCATGGCACATCATGGCATGGCCTGCTCCAAGATTTCTCGAAGCGCCAGTCGAACGTGGGCCTCGAGGCCCGACAAGTACTGCTCCACGGGGCCCTGCCGGCGCCACAGGCAACGAGGCGCTCCCGGCCGCTCCCGGCGCTCCCGCTCCCGCTCTCCCAAAGGCCGGGCGCCTCCAGCTGGAAGGGGCCCGTCTCGGACGGCCAGGCCACGAACTGTGCACGACTGGGCAAGTCTCTCCCTATCTCAAAACTCCCCCCAAAACCCCAAAAGACGCTTCGATCCCACGCTCTCCTCGCCGTCTTTGGCCCGGTGGCCGCAGGCGATGCGGCCGAACTGAGGGTCTTTGGAGAAGTCCAGGGTGCCTCACGGCGACAAGACTCTCTTTTTTTTGCATAATGTGAATCCGCCAACTCCGGCAAGCTGGGCGCGGGCCACGGAAGGGCTTTCCAACTCTCTTCCTCCAAACACCACCACTTCCCCCTCTCCCCCTCGAAGGGGTGTAAGGAACAAAACAGCGGAGCAGGGGGTTGGGAGAGGAATGAGCTTCCTCAAGATTTCTTTGTCCCCCTGACCCTTGCCCCAACCACTCCACCCACCAACAAGCTGCGTTTTTGCGATCCGTGCCCCGTCCTCCCCCACCTCCCCGACCCGTCCTAAGCCTTGCTCTCCAAAACAACCAAGTCACGTGCGCCTACTGCCCTCCCAAAATGGGCTGCTTCGACAGATACACGTGAGCCCGTCCGGTTGGGTATGCCGACAATTGATTCCGAAGAAATCGTATATGTCGTAAACTCGTGCTCTCGCTGTGGCTTCGTCATGCTGTGGTCTTGGGTGGCTTTTGTCGGGTCAGCGGAAGTGGCCTTAGGCCATTATAGATATTGCCGCTGCCAACTCCAGTCAAACGAAGGGGCGGATCCCATCAAAGACGTCGCCCAAGTATTCGGCCACCTCGGAGATCGGAGAACGGCACATAGTGACTATAGTGCACATTCTCGTGTGAGCATTTCTCCCGCCTTCAAGGGCTTGTTGCCGTTGGAGAGGATGTCCAGCAGGGCCCCGTTGGCGACGAAGTAGAACCGTGGAAAATACTTCTTCTTCTGCTCCAAATAATCGTTCCTGACTCCAAACGTCGTTTTTACACATCCCCTCTTTGCCCGGAAGCCTTCCAAGCAAAAACTGTACTAGCCAAGGAGCAACGAGCGCTCGCAGGTATCCAAAGCATCGCTGATATCGGCCCTAAGAGGTAGCGAGAGGCAGAGTGGCCCGGCCGCGGATTCCCGGAGCCCTTGTTAGGCTCCCTGCAAGGTCTGCGCGCGGCCCTCGGCCATGCAGATCTCCACAATCAGAGACGACCTGGACGCCTCCGCAGACTAGTCGCAGGCGTCACAGGGTTGTTCCGCGGGAATCGGATCAAAAAAAACGCATTCTGGATCCAAAAAAACCTTCGGCCAAGATCAAAAAAAAACTTACCCGCGGATCCAAAAAAGACTTTATTCCGATCAAAAAAACTTTCTGTAGATGATTACAAGCAAACCCATGCGAATCCTGAGGTAATAGTCGTAGTCGTGGTAACAGTACGAGTAGTAGCAGTAGGAGTAGTAGTAGTAGTCGTAGTAGTAGTAGTAGTAGTAATAATAATAATAGTAGTAGTAGTAGCCGCCGTCGTCGTCGTAGTAGTCCCGTTGTTCCCCATCAGATCTCCTTGCCTCCATCATCAGATCCTGCACAAACACTGATGGCCCACCCCCACTCTTCAACCTCACAACCGGCTCCTTCCAGCTGTTGTCCAAGAGCTCGAAACGCTTTGAGTCATCCGGGAGTTGTGATCGAATGTCGTCGCTTTGCATGAAGATGGGCCTGGTTCGTGGAAGGCTTGTCACACCTTACGCCTTACACTTCCCTCCTGCTTTCCAAGAAGCTCCAGGCGGCACCAGTTCACTTGGAATTTCCGCCAGACCTGGGCTCGAACACAGCTTCCGCCTTCCGCCCGACCGGGAGTCGCCGGGAGTCCTACCTGCAGGACCGCATCAACCGTTTGAAGCTTCTCGCTCCACTCGTCCACTGTGGGCTTGCAGAACTCGATGAACCGGCCCTTTGAGGAGCACACAATGTGAGTCGCACAAAGCCACAAAGTTTTGCCTGCGAGGCCATGGACAGCATCTCTAAGGAGTCCGACTCCAACCGCTCCAGCACCTGTCAAAGAAGAGGGGCATAAAACTTTTCGCGCCCTCTCACCCTGCACCTCCGAAAGGTCTGCAAGCAAAGGACAGTCCTCCCAAGAAACAAAGGCAGATGCGTCAGCTGCGCCGCTCCGCTGCGCTCCTCGCGGCCGTTGTCGAAATCCACGCTCATCTTGGACCAAGTCTTGCGGATGCCATCCAACTTCCCCTCCTTACGAGGCGACTCGGGCTCCCAGTTCGAGCAGGCTCCGCGTTTTTCGCCAATTGCAAGTCGTCGATGTGACTTGGATCCACGCAATCTTGGCTTCTTTGACACTCTGGTCCACGATGTCGTAGACATCAGACCTTATTTCCCGGAGCCGACCCAAACCCGACCAATTTAACCCCGGCAAGCGAGCGGCGAGAAGTGGTGCAGCTCCAGCTCCAAAAGGTGCCGGAAGCTGAACTCTGGCCCCTGCAAATCGGCTGAAAGCATAGCTCCGCCGTCAGCAACCGCTGCAAGGCACCTTCTCGAAGGTTTTTTTGGTGACGGCCATGAGCAAGGCCCAGTGCCGGTCGCGCATGGTGTCCGAGTGAAGTTCCTCAGCACGAGGCGACAATGCACATGCGGAGAAGCACACCTTTTCATGCCGACCCGAATGAACCTTGAGCGATGTTGACCACATCTGGCTAACATTTCTACACGTCAGCACCTGACCCTACTTGCAACATATGGCATCAAAGCAGTGACGCTGAGCCTTATTCTCATGTACCACGGCTGGCAAGCGTCGGGCCCGGTAAACTTGTAGCCTCCATACACGGACTGCGGTGTGCCGAGGGGCCACACTGGATGATTCTTTCCAACCCCTCCTTCACACGACCTTGAAGGCAGTATCACCTCGATATTGAGGCGTACTGCACGGCAGTGGACCGGGCTCACCCCTCTCTTCTACATGCAGTTCAAGGGCCCTTCGGCGTCGACAACAAAAGGACGAGCAATCAGAAAAGCATACAACTGCCGGGCTCCGGACTAATAGCTTTTAAGTCCATCAAAGGGTCCCTACGTCAGTCCGCGGATCAGTGCCTCCAAAATATCTTCTTTGATGGTATATCTGCCAAGTCGCGTGACACCACGCGGAAGCCGACCGTTCCCCAACCATTTGGTGAGGGGGTCAGCAAGAATATGATGTCCAGGAACCCAGTGAACTGAAGCATTGAGGGCTTTGCCCCGTCGATCTGAGCACGACGGTCGAATCCTGCTGAGCCGCTCCTACGATTGAAGTCGTAGAACGCCCGTGCATCGGTGATCGTGATGCTCTTCTCGTTCACGTCGTTCTGGCGGACCACGGCAACGCTCTCATCGGACGACAGCCGTGTGCCATCATACATCGTGGTTCCAAGAATGCACACGGTGTGACCTCCAAAAATTCAGACCAGACTGAAGTCAGCCCGTTCCCCGGCCATGTGCTTCGTGTCGACGAAGTCGATGAGGAAACCGCCTTGGGACTTACTGCCGTCATTTCCCAGGGAAGCATCTGGAACAGAGAGCCAGAAACCATTCTCGAGCCCACATCAGTTGTCCCTCGTAGTTCTTGGATGGCTTTGCTGGCATGCTGGACGTGGCAGACACGTGGTCCATCTTTCTCCCAAGATAACACCATTGAGGAAGTCGTTGAACTTCGGACATTTCCAGCCCCGGCGGCCATCCACATTCACCTTCGCCAGCCGTCCTGTTGAAAGTCCACACAAACACGAGCCCCCAAGGCTGACGTCGGCTTGGCATCCAGCTCGGCCCATTAAGGCACTCGCGGAGTCCTTCTGATGTGCCATCCCTATCCTTGGGCAGCGCGAGCACTCCTGCGCACACATTGGGTTGCCCACCTCCTGCTCCCAGTTCTCGTGGTTCTGAACTGCTGCAGCGCCAGTGACGTCCGTGGCCTCGAGGTGGTGCACACTGACCTCGCTTCCGAAACCTTGGCGGAGCTCTCCTTCTTCTCGCCCCGTTTCTTTTGGGCGTCACATATAGTCCCGGCTTCACTTCGGCACTGTTTGGCCTTTGCTGGCAAATCGGCGATACCCGTAGAACCGGCGCAAAAACTTCGACCAGCCCCGATGATCCCCAAAAGGTCGCCGCAGCAGGTGTTGGTCGTCCTGGGGCACAAGGTTGCGTGGCACTAGCGGCGGAGGCATTTGAGGTCAGTTCAGGAGCCACGGTTAGAATGGTAAAAGACACGGACCTTGCCCAGGAACCACCTGCATCTTGAGCACTCCTGACATTGCACACAAGTCCATCGGGATGCATGCTACACAGATCAAACCTAACCGTGTCAACCAGAGCATGTCCTTCCAAGTCCGCTAAAAAGCAAGCGACGCGTAGGTCAAGTAGGCTACATGCCCACCGAAATCTTTCTCGCGACTCGACAATCCCGGAGTCCCCGCACCCATGTATTTTCCACACGTCGGAACCAACGCATCGTCAGTGCCCTGGGCTGGCTCTGAGTTCGGTGTCCCGGCACACGCTTTTGCTTCAGGGCATTCCTTCGACCGGCGTCCCAGCTGCTTGCAGCACTGGTGACAACGCGTTTTGCTGTCGAACTCCGCCAACGACACTCGCAGTCTGGTGTCCTGGTTAGGACCTCCTGGTCTTGAAAGCGTCGAGGTGATGCCCCGACGTCTCTCAAAGTGATCAAGGTGGTTTCCATAGACCCTGAACGGTTTCCTTTGCCACCATGGTGACCTTTGCGGCCCGCTAACGCTGGTTTCTTTCTTGGACGCTACGAAGCCAAAGATCGATTGATCGGACGCCTCTTCCCCTTGAAAATGGCCTGCTCGCACGACTGCTCCAATCTCATGCCACGAAAATTTTCACGGTTATCCTCGAAGATCTTCAGGATGGGCTCAGTCTCGGAGGTAATGTCATCAAGTGACACAACAAAGCCGCTAGCCTCTCACATCCATGATTCTGTTCCAATCAGGCTTCGTCTTCGTTCAACCACAATCTCAAAGCTGTCGGGTATCGCCAGCCTCGGTCATCATGAAACTTCTTCCTTCCAGAAATGTCCTGGGACCCACCCAGCCCAGCCCTAGTGTAAGGCGGATCCGCGGAGGCTTCTTCATTCCCGTAGTGCCGAGCGCCGATGTCGTCTCGGCTTCTTCCAACGTCCCATGTTCACCCATCAAACTGGCAGCCACTCAGTGCACACAAAACCGGATGCTCGTCAGCCACAGGGGGATCAGGTAGTCGACGGGTTCCCAGGCAACCGACCGCAGGTAGCTCACATAAAGACCCGGGCCGTCACCACCGTGGATCGGGCCGAACACTCTTTTCTCCATGCAGCTCAAGTGCCCTTCGGCCGAACGGACAAAGAGTGCACAAGCAATCCGATGACATGCAACTGTCAGGCTCCTCAATCATAGGCCTTATCAGTTTTTTCTGAGGTACTTCAACCGCGACGACGGGCAACTTCAACTTCATCGCACTTCAGGCTGCGAAATCACCTTCCTGCATTTAGGGCTGTCAACTCACCTGACAGGAAGTCCAGCTTCACCTTGGTCTGTGTCGGGCTTGGAACATACCGAACTGTCTCATCGGTGGGCCCCGGTCAACTCGGGTGAAAGCCGGCCCCTCCGTCTGTGTTGACGCATCGACAATATGTTCACAGGTTTTCCACTACATTTGCCTCGGAAGAACTCGTGCCTCATTGCAAGTTCCTTGTCCAGGTCCTCGGGCCTCGATTCCAACTCGGGCAACCGAGAAGACCGACAGGCCTGCTCTGAACTTCCCCTTCCGTCAGGTCTTGGAGTTCTTGCCGGTCTCCTTTTGTGAGTTTCCTAGAGAATCCCCGTGACAAGGTCCTCAATATCACTGCACATCCAGCTCTTTCCGGTGGCTCCCAAACTCAAAGCACCGCACTGGCGAGGAAGTAGCGGTCATCGCACGGATCTAGTTTCAGGCCAGCATCGTCTTGTGCACTGCACAAAGGATCCCAGAGAATCTACGGCTTCAACACCTACTCAACAGTTGAGCACTCAAGCACTCATGCAACTTCTCTGCCACGAATGTCTTCTTCCCCCCCTGAGAATCGTCACCCTCCGTGATTCGGATATCCAGTTGTTCCCGGCATCGCAAAGTAGGACTGGAAGTCATCATGTTGTAGCCAGGCTTAACCGGGCTCCTTATAGGCTGCCACGAGTAGAATCGTCCCGTCCACGCCAACCACCGCAGACAGCCGCTAGCCGTGGCGAGCAATGTGGCTGCAAGGGAGCGTCCCAGCGTGAGTCTGCTGTCTCTGAGCTAACAGCAGCCACAAGGCTCAAAGGTAGGACCCAAGTGAAACTGGGTGCCGCACATTGACCAGCGGCAGTGCTGCCGACATGTTCTTCACCTGTGCGGTGAGATGCAGCACAGAGGCCTCCACGGCTCTTGCTTTGCTACATCTCCAATATCATTTGATGAAATTAATCTGTTTCTCGCTGCAATTACTCTTGCATGCAGTCTGTCTCGAAACACAGGGTGCTGCCACCCTGACCCTGAGCGACGCTTCGACTGAAGTCAGAGAGGTCGGTGCTCAGCGCCAATTCGTGGAGTGCCGCACGCGACGCCCGGTGCTAAGCCAAACGAATTCAGTGACTCTTTGCCCTTATTTCCGGCATTGCTGAAAGCCTTGACATGGGCTCCAAGGGCGCACCTCGTCCTGGATCCAAGCATAGAGCGGCCATGCTCGGAGCCCCTTCTGAGCGCTTCGAACCTGCGGCAAAGGAGAACGGACCGGCCCGCTGCAGGGGCAGGGGGCCCTCCGGCCTGCTGCGCGAGCTCGCGCACGGTGACCAGCATCTGCCCTGTGTCGATCTTCTCCCAGGGCACGGTGTACCTGCCAAAGCACAGCCCGTCAAGGTCCCAACGCATCTAAGAGGAAATCCCCACGCCCGAAACCGCAGTTTGGGTCTCCGCGCCAGGCTGAGAAGGTCTCGCGCACCAAGACGATCAAGTCCTTAAGGCACGGACAGAAACACTGAAAAGACGAGCTGGCGGCCCTGCTCAGCTGGCGGCCCAAAGGTTCTTCAAGAGGATCAGATTGTTCAGGCAATCGTTCCTCGCAGAGAAGCAATATGCTGCCGACACGTCGGGCTGGGGTGAAGACTCCGCGCGCCATTGCGACCATGCGAGCGCGGCGACCGGGCGCGAGACGGCGCGACCGAGCGTGAGTCGCATCCCACAGCTCTCGCAGCGAAGACCCTTTCCGATCTCAAGCCCCAGAAACCGCATGGCCATGGACCATCATGGACTCTGAAAGTCACAGGGAAAGCCGTGTCCTTTTTCAGGCTCTCTGAGCCGCACAGCTCCTCGCTGGGGCCCCCGGCAAGGGCCTGTAATCGGACATGGCCATGTCAAAGAGGAGCTCCAGATCCTCGGAGAAGCCGCCGCGGTGCGCGTGCGTGGTGCGCCTGCGTGCGCACGCCGCGTCAGCGCTGACGCATGGCCGAGGGGCGTTGAACTGCTCGGCGCGCGCTTGGATCTCCATCGTCTTGCCGTAATACTCGTTGATGATCGCATAACCTCGCCAACGTCTATTGCCGTCCAAGTTTTCTCTTGCCTGTCTATACGCTTCCAAGGCACTCTTGTCATAAGAGCCAGTGACCGCATGCTCACCTCGTCTTCGCACGCAAAAGCCAAGAAGAAGATGCCTTTCCACACCAGGCTAGCCACTTCCAAAAGGACAGCGCTCAAGAAACTCGAACCTGAGTCCAGGAAGAAAACATGCATCCTTTACACGTCTGCTCGGCGTCTCTGACCCCGCTCCAGAGACCAACCCAAGAGTGCCGAACTGAAGCCTTGAATCCCTTGAAGGCATGAGCTGCCTGGCTGCCTCAGACCCTGACTCGGAGCATGGACGTCTTTTGAGGACTCCGAGAGCTTTGGCCCAGACCGGAAGTTCCGCACGTCCTCCCGGAAGCCCTCGATCTTCACGCGGATCTTCTGCATCTCCTGGCACAGACTTCGCAGAGTTACATTGAACCTTCGCCGCAGATGGAACGGACGCGCGAGTGTGCGAGTGCCCTGCCTGGTTTTGCAAAGGCAAGATCTTCTCCTTCTCGTTGAAGGCAGCCCGGTCGACCTCTGAGAGCGGCGGGGCCGGGCGACGCGAAAGAAGGCTCTGCTTCGAAGGGCGCTTCAAAGGCGGCTTTTCGCCAAGGCCACTAAAATCGCGCGCTGGCCTCGGCCCAGTGTGCGGGCGCTTGCTCCAGATTGTTCCATCGCTCCTCGCGCGCGACACCGCGGACACGCCCCCCGGCGCCGCGGATCGCGGCTCGCGGAGGGCTTTCGAGTTGAGAGCTGCCGGTGCTCCAATGGTGCCCGTGCTGCAGGCGCTCCAAGCTCCTCTGAAATCGGAGCACGAGCGTGCTTCTTCAACATCTGCACCTCGGAGAAAGGGCAGAAAGGGCATGCCCACTTCACTCCTATCCACAGAAAGCGCTCGCCTGCTCACGAAGGGGGTGGAATAACCTCGAAACCAAGAGCGCAAGAAATGCGCGGACCGAAGGCTCTTTTGGCAGCCTCTGCATGGCGCCGCGTGCCAGCTTCACATCGCGGATTTTCGTCATCCTGACGGACAGAACGGAAGAGGCGTGACGCGAGTCGGGGGGGCCCAACTTCAGTCTATTTGGCGAGCGGCGTCTGGTAGAGCAGGCGCTCGTCCTTGGTGTACACAAACAGAGCCGCACCGCCTGCCGCGCCTTCCGCGCCGCCGCCCTTTGCCCTTTGCCTCCGGGTTCTCGGCGGCCGAAGGCGGCCCCAGGCCAGTCCTCAGGGGCCCGCAGCCACACATCCGCGGGCCCGCTTCCACGCTTCGCCGCTTCGCCGCTTCGCTCCTCACCGAGTCAATGAAGGCGCTGAGCGAGGCAATGCGGTCCTGCAGCAAGTCTCGGAGGCTGCTCGGAGCTGCAGTCTGCCCTTTGCGCCTCCAGAAAGCCACGTAAGAAGCCGGTGAACTTCTCTTCCCACTTCCGGGCGCAATTCACCAAGGTCACCTGCAGAGTCTGCAACAGCAGGGAAGGAAGCGTTGCAGAAGGTTCCAAAAGCCCAAAAATGCCCAAAAGGACGGGCCCAGAATCGCCTTCACGGGCTGCGCGTCGATGCGGAGCCAATGGATATCTGTGGGGGTCTTCTTCATAGACAGCTCCTGAGCTGCACAAGCCCCCCTCAGAGAGAACAAACGAGCGACAGAGCTGCCCTTTCAACTCAGAGCGCCTGCTTCAGGTGCTCGAAGCGCGTGACCTCCTTCTCAAAGCGCTCCAAGGATGGAATCGGCGGTCCCAGGTCCACCTGAGAGCGCTGTGCCTTCAACCCTCTGAAGGCGACTCGCCGACGTTTTTCGTGGTCTTCCAGATCATCACACCACATGCCTTGATGCGGTGCATGATCTCCCGAAAGGTCATGCCACCTTCGGAGAAGTCAACCAGCTCCTGGCTATCTGGCTACGCGCGTGCGCGCACGTGTAAAAGTTAGTCACACAACCGATGTCGAACAAATGTTGCTGCTGTGTAGATTCTTGCACGAGTTGCAGCAGCAAGCGAAGGAAAACAAACTCGCACTCGCGGAGTCGCGCTTGCATAGCAGCAATGCGTTCAACATGAGGTTGTGTCGTACTTGATGCCACGGCCATCTCAACAGGTGCGCTCTTGCTGCATGAGATTTCGACTCACCTTCGGCTGTTCTTGCAGGAACCGGTCGAAGGTCTTCTCGACCTGAGCAGCCGGCCAAGAGCAGGCTCAGGCTGCGAAGGGAGAAGGGAGGCTCCCTTCGAAGCCCTGCACAAGCGCAGTGGCTCTACCCCATGTTTGGTAAGGCTGCTGAACTGATCAAACTCAAACCGATTGGCATTATGGTCTGATGGATATGTAGTGCGCTAAGTGCGGCAGATCGTTCAAGCCACTACTATGATTTAGCACATGCAACAGAAATCCGTGGAGGCTTCAGTGGGGTCACTGTTTTCCTTGCCTTCTGACGACGCAGGGGCATGTAGAAGCATTGACGAGAATTACTGGTCTGTCACTATTTGCAGCCGTTGATGCCAATCCTGCAAGTGTCCCGCGCATACAGCCCTCGCGGTGTATTGTGTGTGTGTGTGTGTGCGGACACCTGTTTACCAAGGATTCAGTTAGCAAACACCGAGAATCTCAGCTCTTGTTGCACGACAGAAGGCGTTACATCGCTTGAACCACACATTCTTGCCAAGTTTGGCGCTTGCTTGGTGACTGAAGCAACAAACAGTTGCTGAATTGATTGCGGCATGTGGCAAACCAACTCCAGCATAACAGGACTAGGATTCAGGGCTGTGTCTTCTCAACAGCCGAGGAGATATTAGCTCCACTAGCTCACTAGCTCATAGAGGTTTCGAACTAATTTCGCAAATCATTTGCAGCTTGAGGTTGCCTGCGATGTAGCGGTCTTAACGAAACTTGCCACAGTTGATTCTGTGATCAAGCTATCGCTGATTTCAGTGACCGGCACTTTGCAGCATCAAGTGAGTTGCATAGGAGACCCTGGAACAACGTTCGAGAGACTACAATGATGATATCAGATTGTCAGTCGTGAAGGGGGGGCAGGACATGTGCATCTGCCGCCACGGGGCAGACGTTTCTCATGCTGAAACTGAATCACCGGCCCCGGCGGCTAAACCTGTCTTTGAGTCGGTGTAACTGTTGACACTCACGGGGTGGGCGGGGTGGGCGTGAGTGTGTGTGTGTGTGTGAACCTCCCTAGCACATGGGGCCAGAGGGTCACTCCTACACAGTTTCATGGGGTTGCAGGGGGGCGGAGGGAGTGTGGGGGTGCTCCGCCCAACGAAGCTGCC